TAAACATTTATCTCATATGTTAACCTATATCGACAAAAAAATATCTTGGGAAATATTTGATGTTAGAGTTGAAAATCAGTTAAAAGGTACTGGTGTACAAGCAGTTCCATTAGAAATGTCAAATGTTGGTATGAGAGTTTTTAATGTAGACGGTAATTCTACTATAACAAATTGTATATATCCATATCAAGACACTAAAGATGCAATTGTTATCAAGACTTAAAACGTAATTCTAAAAGAAAGTTACCATCAACATCACCTACAATAGAGTTATATGAAAATAGTTATTTATTAGATGATTCTATGCGTTCAAAGTGAATAAGCACAAAAAATCCTAGATTTATTGAAAAAAATAATGTCGCAGAACAAACAATTTTTAGTGGTCAATGGTTAAATGGTTGGATTGAGAAAACATATTACTCATGTATTAGTTAACCCTAATCAAAATCAACATTTCTTTTTTGGTGATGCTGGTGAAAGTTATAAAAATGGTATATTTGCTCAAGCTAATCAATCAGACGAAGATTTAAAAAAACAAGGTGTTATAGAAGAAGTATGGAATATAACATGTGCAGCATGAGCTGATTATGCAGATGGTTGGGTAACAGTACCTGGTTTTGGATTAAATAATTTACAAATTGAAGCTGAAAGAATATATCCTGGTCATTAAGATAAAACTTTTTTAGTATTAGATAGAATGTTTGATACAACTAATCCTAAGAATGGAGACATTTTACCAGCAGTAAGATCAAATAAATCTTTTTATACTGGTCCTAACAACTCGTTTGAAAAAATGCCATATAAGTATGAAAATCACTTTGATCAATATAATTTACCTTATTTATAAAATGAATATGATTCTAAGTTATTTAAAGATCGTAATTCCTATTCAGCTGTTAGTGGAGATAAAACTGCAGATTGTTTTAATACTTATTATAATTATTTACCACATATATCTCCATTTCAAGCAAATAAAAGCATAAAACTATTATATAAGTGTTTTGATCCAGCATATATCGGAAAAGAAGTAATGCCAACAACTGTTAGATTTAAATTTCGTTACGAGCATGTAATTGAATGTTATGGCAAAGAATGGTCATTCGAAGAACCTATAGTAAACCCTGAGACTAAATTAAAACCAAAGCAAGAACAGATAAATTATGGAAAAGATATCTGTTTTTCATTAGTAAAAATGGCAAACCCTTTTTCTGATAGCCCTGAAGCAAGTACAATTGTTGATATACAAGGACAGCAAAAAATGTTTATACCTAAGTATGTAATCAAAAAGTTCATGAAAGTAAGTTATTACCTAAGTATTTAATCAAAAAGTTCATGAAAGTGATGAACCAAATGTAAAACGATTTAAATATTAATTAGAATATATTTGAAATTTACTTAATACATCTTTGTCATTATTTACAATTTTAGGTTTCCCTTTGTTTAATATATATAATAACTCATTACCACAAGAAGCTAATACATCGATTTCGTCATAAGTAAAAGTTGTATTTAATGTTTGTCCCATAAATAAAATTAAACAACGATTTTCAAACATAGGATATTCACTTGGGTGCCATTTTAAAATATCTCTCTTATAACTGCAATTCATAGTAATTACGACAGGGTGGGGATCAATTTGTAAATGATCTTTGTATTTAACATCAAAATGTAGTGTTTCAGATCGTTCCAATAACTGTTTCATAACGTGAATAATTGATAACTCTTCAAACACCATTTCGTCGCATCGATAAGCAAACGCATTAGTTAGAGATTGTAGCATAAATGATGATGCTTTTAATTTTAAATAATTTTGACGAAATATAATCTTTTTTATAGATTCTATGTCGTTACTTCTTTTTAACTGCATTTCTAATTCCCTTAAATGTTCGTCTGTTTGTAAAAACGAGTCGTAATGCTTTGAATTAATTATATTTAAATTATATATATATTCCTTAAAATTTTCTTTTGGGCATTTCTTTAATACTTTTGGTTTCTCCTCCTGATACCACACATGTTTCTTGGTGACCAGATAGGGCAATGTTTTCAACATAATTAATGGCTTTGCGCAAGTAGTCAGTCGTAATAATGTACTTGACCTTAATACGATAGTCGCACTTGCTACAGTAATGTCCGTATCTTCGGTTAGCGATTTGTGCGCATCCTGTACATTTATATCTTCTTTTTTTAAATAAATTTCTTGTAATTTGTTTTGCGACAGTATCGTGGTGTTGACACTTTGTTGGGGCTGCAAGTATGGTGTGGGAGTGTGGTTTTCCGTCAAAATCTTTTTCAGGTTTTCCATCTGCAAAGTGACCTTTTTTGCGATGTCCTTGAAGTAATGGTAAATATCTGTTTGCATTATTTTTGAAGTCGTAGCAATAGGAGTTGTCAAGTCTGTTACTGCAGATAACGTGGTAGGCGTAAAAGTGTCGTTTGCTGGTCTTATTATCTGAATAAACAAAACACTACTCGAATTATTTTACATGATATATTTCAACGTTAACATTATAAGTATTCTCGTAATATTGTATTACATTTTTTAACTTATTTAATAAACTATTTATATGACTTAATACCTCTTCATCAATTTCAATAGCTGGTATGCCTTCCAGAGATAACATATACGAATCTAATTCGTCTTGCGTTGACATACATAGTTCGATTAATTGATCTTCTGTCATTCCAACTCGGAAGCTGTCACCTGTATCGCTTTTGTCATTTTTTGCAATTTCGCTATTTTCGCCCGTATCTTTTGCGTCGATTGTTTGCGACACGCTATTCTTCGTTGAAGGATCTTCGTAAAATGTTGCAACGAATTTATCATGTTGGTTTCCATCATTGTGGACGAGAATCCCACTTCTCGACGTGGTGTATCTACTTCGTCAAGGACATGTCCTTCGCATAACTTATAATCTCCATTTCTGGTTTCGACATGATCTCTTCCATCTGTTCTAGAACTTTCGGCGATTGGGTTTGAACAAGGAACCTGGTGTGGGAATGTATCAGCATGCCATTGAATACCATGTCCCTCAACGACTCCATCTTTTCTTTCTTTTTCTCCATTAATCGAACTGCTTTCTCCATTGGAGTTTTTTTCTTCGCAAAAAGTTCCCTTGGATTTAAAATATTTATGGGCAGTGGCCCATTGCAAAAAGTCGGTGTCTTCATTGCATCGCTTGGATCGACTTCCATCTTTTGGCAATTTGTGACTGACTGTTATTTTATATTTTTTTTTATATGTTTTTTTAAAACGCTTCATTAGTCAAGCATATGTACAGGTACCAGTCTCTGTATCTGAATAATACGAAATATTTATAAATACAAGACAGTCCACCCTAGCAGCAAGTGCTCATATTGAGCATGACAGCACTATGAGATCTCATAGTGCGGTCATTACATAGATATTACAGAGATATAACTATAAGGAAAGATTTTTTTCACTTATGAAATCTTTAATATGATTTCCTATGTGAAAACGTTCTTCCCTTATATATTTATTTAGTCTGTATAAATTTACCTGAGACCTGACGACAGCAACCCTGGCAACAAAGAATGATGAGAAAGAGTTTATATCTAATGAACTCTTAAAGTTGAGAAAGAATTCATATATAGTTTAAGTTGAAAAAGAGTTCATATCTAGTGAACTCTTCAAGTCTTTGACGGAGTATATATCAAAGAGTTAATCTCAAGTGAACCCTTTCTAACACGTTAATCTCAAGTGAACCCTTTCTAACACGACTACTTCTGTCTATCACTCTAACATGATTGCTTTCACTATTACATCTGATTGCTTAAAGGGGGGCATTTGAGCTTGAAAAGGATCTCACTTCTGTTACATCATGGGGCTCGCAGTAGCTAGTGAACTTCAATGCAGATAAAACTCAATTTTTTCATATGGAGTTAATCGTTATCGCAATAATTTGAAATTTCTTTTTCTAAGAACGGTAATGTACTCGATGAGTCATGTACCCTTTATCTTCTAAGATAAACTCTTACTGCTGATCTTTCTTGGAAACCATATTTCAAATTCGTTGCAAAATTAACATCTGTTTAAGTTGCATATCTTTATCGAGCTCGACACATTCTTACTCGAGATTCTATCTCAATCTCTAAAAATCTCATATCCGACCTTGTATGGAATACTGTTGCTATATCTGGGGCAGATCATCTAATGATGCCCTTTCTCTTTAAGGCAAGGTGCAAAAACGTATTGTAAACATAGCTGAACCTGCTCTTGCAGCCAACCTTTAATCAAATTATTAAAATGGATAAACAATAGTTAGATTTTCTTTGAGTACATACATTATTTTATGTTGGATTTTCTGTTAACTGATTGCCTGCTTCAGTTTATTCCAACAACACAGAATACTGAAATAGGCTTTAAGATAACTATAACAACATGATACTAAAAATAATCTTACATATTGCTAAAACTACCCGCAACATTTCATCGGAAATAATTTAAAAAGTTTGTAATTTTGTATTTGATGATACATGATGGTTTTAACAAGGATCTTATGGTAGCGGAGCGGTACCCTAAATTTCCTTCCTTCGCGCGCATTGAAAATTGTCCTGCGTCCAATGGTATTAGTTAAAATGTAACACGTGACTTGATGAACCAATGAAATGTTTTAAAAATTGACCAATGGGGGATTGGGGGTTGGTAACGGGTTTCTACGTCATAGCATGCGGTGCGCATGCGCAACCCCCAAGAGGGGTTGCGCGGCATGCGCCTTCTGATCTTATTGTTTAAGAGGTGAGATTAAAACAGATTAAAAAAAAAATGTACTGCGCAAGCTTAGTGCGTCAAAGCTAGGTTAAAAATAAAAATAAATAATCCTTCTATTTAAATTAAATTTTTTTATTTTAATCTTTTTATTTAAATAAAGTTAATACGCGTAACGCATTAAAAAATATATAAAAAAGAGAAAAAAAAATGTTTTTTTAATATAATCATTTTTGCAAAAAAAAAAAAAAGACGAATAAAATAAAAAATGAATCAACGACAAAACAACAAACCTATCGCTGTAATTATATTATTTTATATTATATTTTTTTTTATTTATTTTATATTACATTATATTTATTTTTTTTAGATTGTAGAACCTTATAATCCTGAAGATGATCTTCCTGAGGAAGAAAAACAAAAAATAGAAGAAAGGAGAAGAGAACGAGCAAGAATTCAAAATTTATTTAGACCCATTGCTCCGCCACCAGAAGCAGTAATTATAGTTGTTGTTTTTTTATATTTATATTTTTTTTTGTTTATATTATTTTTTTATTTATATAATATTTTTTTTTAGATTGTAGAAGATGAAGATGATGACGATGATGATGATGATGATGATGTTGATGTTGAAAATGTTGTACCTCTAAATAACTACGAACGAAATATACCTGTAGTTTGTAATAATTTAATATTTATTTATTTTGTTTTATTTGTTATTTATTTAGTTATTTTATATTGTATATATAAATTATAAATAGTTTTTTTTTGTAGTACCATCCATCGAATCTGTATGTCTAGGCTGCTGCCTGTGCTTTGCTCCTTTAAGACCGCGAAGACCTTGTTGCCATCGCAATTGCGGATCGCTAGGAGCGTGCACAGGTTGCTGCATATGCACAACTAACACAATCGAGGCGATCAGAGAAGCGTTGAATGAAAAAATCGCTTTCAAAAGACAATATTGGGCTAATAACCCAATGGAATATCAAGATTGATATTGCATTGGGTTTATTAGCGTTTTTTTATTTTTTCAAATATAACTTTGTAAATAATTTTTTTATATATATTTTTTTAAATATTGTATATAGTTTATTTTGTTTTTAAATTTTTTTGTAATAAATTGAAATTTGTAATAAATTGAAAAAAAAAAATTGTTTTTATTTTTAAAAAGATACAAAATGAGTTTAACAAAGTTAGAGTATAATAAAAATATCGATTCTTTAATTGAATACGGAGAACAATTAAAAAAACGTGTAGAAGAGAAATCGTACAATTGTTTATTTTTAGATAGCATTCGTAAAGATAAGAAAGGATTTAATGTTGATAATATAAAAAAAGATTATTCATATGATTCGCTAGAAGAAAAAGAGTTTATTAATAAAAATGGCTTATTTTTACAACAAGTTTGTTTTTTAATGAACAATTTAGCGTGTAACTATATAGAAGATCCTGAAAATATATATCCAGAAGATAGCGAAATACTACAAACACTTATTAGGCAATCGATACAAGTTTTACAAAACTTGTATTGTTATTTTATTATTATAAACTATTTTGAACAAAAAGAATACGTTCGCGTTAAATTAATTAAGGAAATGATAAAGAAATTAGCATATCTTATTATTATAGAACAGTCTCCGTTTTATTTGAATAAAGATAAAGAACATTGCTGTGATAAAATACAAAATGTTTTTTATGCAGTGAAACAATATTTATTGTAAAAATAAAAAATAATACAAATATAATATTTTTAATTAATTAGAAAGATACCAACACAAGGAAAATATTAATATTTTCCTTGTATTGGTATCTTTCCGTTAGTTTCTTTGCATGCTTCTTCATAACTAGGCGGAGCTTCATTCAAAATCCTTTCTGCAGTAGGTATTATACTTTTATAAAAACAAGCTTTTTTTTCATCGTAATGCAAGTCTTGATATTTTGCATATAAATCTTTTCTACCAATTAAATTTAAACAATACTTGAAATAACTCCATTTCTCTTCCATTGTAGTATATTCTATTCCATCAATTTTTAGAGCATACATTCTTATATAGTTTATTAAATCTAGAGCATTGTTTATTTTTTCTGCGGAACCATACGGAATTGCCAAACAATATTTTAACGATCTAACATTAGCATAGACTAATTCATTTGATAACAAAATTAAATCTTCCATTTTTTTTATTATCTAAAAAAATAAAAAAATGTTTAATGCTAATATAACATATTTTTATTGTAGTAAAAAAAAATAATTATTTATGAAATATTAAAAAAAAACAATAATTAAAATTCAATTATTTTTTTTATTAACATAAAAAAATACAATCAAGTAAAATAAACTTGAATCAAAAGTTTGTCATTGATTATGTAATTTTTGAGTTGATCGTGTTTAATAAAGTTATCATAACCGCACGTAATATTTGCTTCATAAATAGGTCTATCAAAACTTTCGATATGTTGTGATGTTGGAAAGCTTAGCTTCATTTCATGATGATTATTTTTGATAAAAAAATTAACATGATTCTTCATCGGCCAGGTTAACATGTGATCATGTTCAGATTTTAAAATCTGAACATAAATAGCCAAGGTTTCAGGTTTTTGATAACCAAATATTTTCACTCGAAAACAATAACCTTCTTCTGTAAAACAGGGTTTACTATAATACGGTTCATTCGATTGCAATCGTAGTGTCATATTTTCTAAACAAATAAAAAGTTTTTTTCTCATAGGTATATCATAATGTTGATCGCATTCATTTTTCTTTTGTTCTAATTCGTGCTTAAACGATGCCACAATGCTTCTTAATTTATCTTTATAGCTAGAAAAAAGTACATCAGGTTGTTTGCAAACAATTTGTAAAATACTCATTCTTGTTTCCAAATTTTCAATTTTTTTATTCACTTTTGAACCTTCTTTAATTGTTAAATTGAGCGCTGTGTTTACATAATTCATACTTTCTTGTATCGACTGAAAATTTTTCATTTTACCATCGACATGATTCTCTATTTTCTTTATATCCTCTTCTAACTTTGATATCTTTTGAGTAGAACAAGACGCATAATGTTCATTAAAAAGAACCTTTGTACCAAAAGATTCGTTGCACAAAGCACATTTTCGATGAGGATGAGGACCTCCGCAATCACATTCAGAAAAGACTTCTTCCATTTCATTATCATTAATCATAATAAAATTTTTATTTGATTTTCTTTCTTCTTCTTGAATAAACAATGCACTGCAATGCACTTGATGCTTTAATAATTCATTTATTGTGAAGTCCTTTTCACAAAAACAACAACTTTGTAAGTTGCTTGCCTTTTTTTTTTTTAATTTTTAATCTAAAAAATATAAAAAAATATTTTTTTTAAAAAAAGAAAATTAATTAAAATAAAAAAAAATAAAAAAAAAAAACACTGCATTTTTTATAATCTACTTTTTATTTTTATTTTTACACAGTTACAATAATAATTACAATTTCCTCTACATATTTGTATAATTTCAACACGTTTTACTTTTTGTTTTTTCATACGTCTTGTTCTTTTTTTCTTTTTCGCATTATATTCTGAATCTGATTCTGATTCGCTTCTGTTCATAGTTATGTCTTCATCTTCTACTTGAGGCGGAGACATTTTTTTAAATTTTTATAAATTGGCTAGAAAGAAGTATTAAAGGTGGTAAAAACAAATTACTTTCTACAAATTCACATTGATCTAACATCCATTGTAAAAGATTAGAATAAATCAAAATAAATTGTTTGAATTCTGTTAAGTGAATGTTAAGTGAATGTAAATAATCGATTAACAGTATATCTAAAAGTATATCAATCGTAGCTATAAAATCCTGTTGCATTTTAATATAATAAGTATTTTTATTTCTCATATATGTTTCAAAACAATGACAATAAAAATAATCAAAACGTCTAACAAAGTTTTCTTTTAAATATAAATGACTAAAAAAAGGTGCAATATTTTTAATTGTTTCATTAGTCGTATCCATTGTTTTTGTAATCGCTAAATTTCTTTTAACTATTTCAAATAAAGTCGGTATTTTAATTAATAGTTTTTGATGAAGGTTTTTTACTTTTTTTCGTAGTTTGAATAAATCTGTTACCTCTGGATAGATCTTGCTAAATTCTTTATAAAATTCTGAATGTTGCCACGGTAAATACCATGTATCCATTTTTTTATTAATAATCTAAAAAAAGTAAAAAAAGTTAAAAAAATTGTCAAATAGAATATATAAATCTTTTCAATAAAATACAACGACAAAGAAAAATAAAAAACAATAGTTAAAATAATTTTTAACAAAATATATTTAGATATTCTCCCAAAAATAGGCTGAAATGTTCGATTAATATTTCAGCATTTTCTACATTGATTATTTTTTTTTCTAAATGATCGATAAAAATAAAAATATCCATAAAAATGTCTCTATTTTTTTCAAAATAAAAGTTTAATATCTTTAATTTCTTTATGTTTTGTTTGCAGTGTTCGCAATGTTGCTCGGCTACACTATTTAAAGAATTCAAGAAGTCATCTTCGATATTTAAAGCTAATGCCAAATGTTTCCATGTTATAGAATCATTTTTAAATAAAATCCAACATTTAATTAGACTTTGCGAATATCTTTCCTTCAATTTTGTTTCAGCTTCAATGTCCATTAACGCTTCTAATTCAGAATTCATTTTTTATATATTTGTCTTGAAAAAAAAAGTTAAAAAAAAAGTTAAATAATAATGCCAAAAATAAATAATTATTAAAAAAAAATATTAACATTTTGTTAACATTTTGTTAGTTATTTATTTTCATTTTAAAAATTTTTTACAAAATTCATTCAAATGATAAACATAATATTCTTTATCAATAATACTTTCATAATAATCAGAAAAATCTGCAAATGTTTTTGTTTTGTTTTCGATAAAAACCTGCTCCACTTTTTCTTTTAAAATTTTTAATTTTTCAACTAATAACAAATGTCCTTCAGGATGCATTTGAAAAAAATATCTTACTAGTCGATACATTTTATCTTCTATTTTACGTTCTTCTTGATCAATAATACCAATTTTATTTTGTAAATCCAAATGTTCTGCAATTTCTTTCCAATATTCATGCAAATAATGTGATAAATAAAATTTCATGTTTTTTTCTATAGTATCCATTTTTTTAATTAAATCTAAAAACAAAAATAAATATATTCAATAAAAAATTATATTTTTAATGATTATAAAAAAAATATTAAAAAAAGATAGAAACACAAATAAAAAACAGTATATTAAAAAAAATATGTTTTATTGATCAAATTGATTACAAAAATCATGCAATCGTTCTATTAAAAGTTCATAATCTTTTATTTGGTCTTCAGTTAAAACTACTCTAAAAACATCATTATTTAATCTTTCTTTTTCGTTTATCATGATAGATAAAATATGCTGTCGTAACTTTTCACATTCGTTGGGATTTTTTTTGAAAAATTGTCTTATAACAGAATTCATTCGTTCGTTATTATTGCTCAAATTGCGCTCCAACATTATTTTATCAAAAATATTAAATTTTAGCTCATGAGCTAAATATTTCCAATATAGATTATATTCTTCTTTGCATAAAACTTTAATCATCTCTTCTTCCATTTTTTTTAATAGTTTATAAATAATGAGTTAAATATGTTAATAATCTAGAAAAAGAATAATTTATTTTTTGATAAATAATAATAATATTTGTACAAAAACTTTATAAAAACAAAAAAAAAAAATAATTTCTTTTTACATAAAAGAAATGGCTAGAACACGTAGAATTGCTAGACATGGTGTAAAAGCTATGTCATCCATAGCAACACAAACAGATCTGCGTGCAATACCAGCTCATTGTAAAGAAGTATTGTATTGTAAAAAAGAGATTAATAAAAAATATAAAAACAATGCATTGAATAGACGATTAGGACGAGTTGGAAAAAAAATTACACGATGGAAAGTAACATATTAAAAAAAAAAAAAATTTTTTACACAAAAAAAATAAAAAAAAAATGGTGCGTACAAAAGCGACTGTTCCCCGTACTAATAAACCT